TTCAGGAAGATCTAAGTTGCCAACTCTCTGAATGACTTTTAGAGATCCCAATCTGAAATACAATACTCAAGAGCTGAGGAAAATGATTAAGCTTCCCACAACATCAGAAAACAATCCTATGTAATAGCTGGTACAGGAGACTTTTGTCAGAGGTATTCTAAGTCTGGGAAATATTCTATAGTTTTTGTGAGTCTCTTACTAAAAAATTTATTTTTTTTCCAAATTTCAGTGATCTGGAAATTAACGTATTTATTTTTAAAAAGATACACAGGCGATGAAAATCTTGATGAGACTCTGAGTCTGTTTCTTCAAAAGACTCAAAATCAGTTTGAGTCAAGTGCCAAGAACAGGGCAAGGTTTCCCCAAACAGATATTTTCCAGTAGCAAGAAGGCAGAGGTAGGTGAAGCAAACTATGGCTTCTACAAATATTTCTCACATTTGTTCAATTCCAGATGAGAAAGTTCTCAGGTGCTGTGGAGGTACAGACCTACAACACTGATGGCTTAGAAATAATACTGAGCTTGGTAGGGCCCACGACCTCCAGAATGGCAGAAGTAAAATGAGAAAAACTTTCTCTCTTTTTTAACAGTGACATTTTCCCAAAAGTGACAGAAAACATTATCATTCTCACCTAAGTCTCTCCTGACTGGAATAACAATGATTATTGGTTGGAACACGGTGAAGTAAAACTGGGGAATAGGAAGTTTTAACTGCAGAAAGATAAAGGGATAAAGAATGATGCCCTATGACAATTGCTTTTTTATCCTTTGTACTGTAATTTTATATAGAATTGTTTTAGGGAAAAAATGTTTTTAGGACTGGTGGAGGTTTCAGAATAGACTTTTAAATGCAAGCTATTTTTCTGTGTCTTAAGTATTTCAAAATGAATAACATTAGAACGGTAGAAGACTTACTTCAAAAAAAATGCCCAAATATTTTATTTCCTTGCACAGGAAATACAGACAGAACAAAAAGCAAGTTCCCTTGCATTCTTCCTCAGGTTTATCCCGTACGAAATTATAAACAGTTTTGGTGAAGGCTTTGATCTGCAGCAGTTTAAAACAGATTCTCTAAAAACAAGTTCCTGAATCCACTGGAAGAGATGAATGAACCATGAACTCTGAGGGCCATGCCACTGCTGACTTCATGTCACTACAAAACTTGTCACTTGAAAACAAACACTTTAAAATATGAATCAATGTATCTAAACCTCAAATGTCCATAACAAAACACTCCACCAGAATTTTATCAACTTTAAAAAGCCAGACAATAACCATCAAAGTGAAGGAACCCCATTTTCTCCTGCCAGCTCTTTACAAAAAGGTATTAGGTTGCTTACTTATTTCTTGTCTCCAAAGTATCAGTGATTACTTTAAAGTCATAGTCTCCAATGAAAGGTACAAAGTCTATCATTTCACTTAAATTCAGGATAAAATTCAGTAAAAATTTAGAAATTCTACTACTTTTTCATTTCCTACTATTTAAAATGAAGATATATTCTTGCCCAAACTGTATTGCACTTCCTAGTTCCTCCTCAGTTTAACCACACTTTCCATGATTTTCAGTGATATAGTCACAAAATTTCACTATTCTAGCTAATGGTTGCTCATTTCAATAAAGTTATTTGCTTAGGAATATAATTTTCAAAATCTAAGTAAAATGGAGATGATCCTGTGTACCTTATTTTTTAAATCAACTTCATTTTTAACAGTCTTAATTGACTCTAGTTTCTCAAAGGAATCTCTACCTCATAGTCACATTCTGAAAATTAGTGACAAAAATGAAGGAAATCTTTTCAAATGTACCTCTGTTTCTTAAAGAAAAAACATCTAAAAGTTGGAAAAAATTCACACTATTTTAAAGCATCAACTGTTTCCTTCTCATATACAATCTACTCCTTTAATCTTAAATTATTCCTTTCCCTTTTTGGCACACTGGGGTCTCAGTTTTGTAAAAGTATTCTTGATGTACCTAAGGAAGGACTGAGACATTAATGAGTCACTCCCATGTTCTGTGTGGGAAGAGGCACAGTGAGCTGTACACTCTGAAGTGCTATTTAAAATCATAGAACCATAGAATGGTTTGGGATGGAACGGACCTTCAAAGCTCATCTAGCCAACCCCCTGCCATGGGCAGGAACATCTTCATCTTGATTGGGTTGCTCAGAGCACCACTGCACCACCTCTCTTGCCAACCTGTTCCAGCATTTTACCTCCCACACTCTAGAAACCTTCTCTCATATCTAACATAAACCAACCCTCCTTCAGCTGAAAACCATATTCCCCTCTTCCTGTTGCAGCAGGCCCTGCTAAAACTGTTTGTCCTCATCTTCCTTGAGGACCCCTTTAGGTGCTGGAAGGGTGCTGGAAGGTCTTCCCAGAGTCTTCTCTTGGGATTGTTCAGCCTTGAATCATCTTGGCCTTTCCTCATAGGAGAGGTGCTCTGATTCCTCTGATCATCTTGGGGGCCTCCTCTGGACTCACTCCAAGGTCCCTGTCCTTCCTGTGCTGGGGACCCCAGAGCTGGATGCATCACTGCAGGTGGGGTCTCACGAGTGGAATGTGAGGATTTGTAGTATAAGTTCCCTTCTGTGCAGGTTTAATGGTACAATACTAAAACACAGTCAGGATCCACTAACTCCATTCCCCACCATTAATAGCAGTAGCAAACTGGTCTATGGTTCCCCAAGTTATTCAACTCTATGTGCAGTCCCAGCTTTTCCCTGCAATCTTAATTTTTATCAAAAGATATACCAAGACTTCTACACTAAAATATATTTCTAACTCTTTACAGACCTGATGCTTTGAAAACATCTCATTTTACAAAGCTATTTTTTAAGAGCAACAAACTATCAACAGTCACAAAGTATCCATAATTTTATCTAACAGCATTTTCTATTGAACTTGCCATTCTATGGTTACAAAATACAGAATAGGTCTCCTAAGAAATACTTATTCAGACTTTCCACACTAACACTGAAAAATGAAGGATAAAAATTAATATTAAGGCTTCACAAGGTGTTTTAATGTACTGGTAAATGCTGTAGCATACAAAAAATACTGTTCATATTGAACGTACCTATTTTCACACATTACACTGCATTTAATACACCAGAGCTTTTAACCTTACAGTTAGTACTAAAATATAAAGAAAAATACCACTGCTATTCTTTCTTTACAATGTTTATAGTTGAGAAAAAGTTGACTTAATATATTTTTTTTCTGCCTTCATAACTTCTAAAATATCTATTTCAAAATCAGCAGAAACAGATATTACATAAAGCAACTTAAGCCACTGTCCTTTTCATGGAAAAATCTAACTAGGGATTAGTTAGGGAAATTCTTGTCCCTTTCCTCCTTAACATATGGTAAAGCCAGATAACCTTCACGTGTTTTTTTTTTAACTTTCCAGGTGTATTTAGTATTTGACATGGCTCCAACATAGATGATATCACAGGCATCAGTGGTTGGACTGACTGTGGAAATAAGTACTGTTAGCATGCATTGGTTACCTGCAAGGTTGTACTCTGGGTGCATTCTTCAAGGAGAAAATTGTTCCTTTTCTTCATCTGCTTTTTGTATTCGACAGCTACCTCTGTATTCTACAAACTGCTGTTACTTCACAGTTTTCGAACTTTCAGCTTTTAACTGTGAAAAGCTCTGATGACAAAGGCCCAAAGAAAGCTGTGCGCCCTCTGAGAGACTGGGGCACCAGGAGATGGCCCACCTCAAACTTCACCTGCCTGCTACTAAAGATATGTCCTCAATGGTAAAAACAACACGTGGCTTACAACTTCTGTGTTAAGCAAAATATTTCTGAATCATGTGCAAGTCAAAAGTGAGCTTTGACATTTCTATCAGGAAGGAAAAAATACATTTTGTTATAGAAAAAGCCATTCTCTGTGTACATTAAAGTACACAAATGTTAAAGAATTTCTTTAAAAAAAACCTCAGTCAGGAACTTAGGAAAAAATACATTTTGTTATAGAAAAAGCCATTCTCTGTGTACATTAAAGTATACGAACGTTAAAGAATTTCTTTAAAACTCCACCTCAATCAGGAACTTGTTTGCCAAGCATTACAGGGCAAATTGCTTTTGTAATCTTAGTTCTTTACAATACAGCAGAGAATTTGATGGAAGAACAGATTTACACTAGCTCATATAGTTTTCGCAATTCTGTTATTTTTAAAAAATTACATTAATTTTGTAAAAATATTGAAACATACCCAGACTTATTCCCAAATTCAGATTTATACTACCATTTTAAACCTTGCTAAAATAAAAGATTAACATATTTACTGTATGTGTATTATTTTCAGGACAAACAGAATGTCAGTGACATGCATAACGTTTAATATTATTTCCACATTATGCTGAATACAATATGTGCATATTTTAGGAAAGTCTACAAACCATTTTGGAAAATAATCTATATTAATGGATAACTCTATGACATTGCTGGCATATTCCTAAATGTTTAGGATGATATGTTTTCTTAATATTTACTGGTATCTAATTGTATTGTCATTGACAATCAGAACTGAACTACCATGCCAAAAAAATTACAACCTAAAATGTTGAGAGCATCCATATCAATGATATAGAGTGTAAAAATCATTACAATCACTTTATGCCTTTATGTAGATCACTTCTACAAGAATACAAATGAATTTTATCAAAGAAACACGTATGACACAAATGACATTTAACTATTTTAAGCTGTGCACATATATTGCAAAAGCAAAGGAAAGGCAGGGGCATGCTCACACAAGTTGCAAACAGAGAGGAATATCATGCATACTGTTCACAACCCACAGGTTATTAGTAAGCTATTTGAAAAACAGTTAAGCCTTTTATGCCAAGCATTGCTTTCATTTTAATGACAGTAATTCCCCTTGCCTTCAGTAGGAATTACACCTGTGTAAATGAGAGCAAATGTAGGGCAGAAAATAAGTTGACCATAAAAGAAAATTATTTTAAACAGAAAAAAGACTCTAACCACTTTGTCCTCCTGGAGTTCATATCCACGAAAGCAAGAAAGAAAGGATGGGGGAAAAAAAACACAAATAAGGAAAGAGTCATGTCCATTTTGAAAGTAAGCACTAGAATTTTTTAGTAAAATAAACAAATAAATATCAAAGGAAGTAATATATATTTTTCTTATTTCCCCTAGTGGTGAAGGAGATATAGTGAAAAATAAATAATTTTAATAATTTTCATTATCTTTTCATGAGTGAAATTGAGATTATCTTATAATAAAAAATTGTACCAAAAATGCTCAAAGGAAATTATTTTCATAAAAATAATTTGGGAGTCATATCTGAATTATCTTCACAAAAAATAGATCATCTCATCAAAAGGATGCAGCACTGAGCTCATACCTTGGACACCAGTACTGAAAATTATTAGTATTCATCAATCCTTTGCACTTGCAAAGAGTTCAGTGAAATTAAGAATGTTTGTTTACTACAGACAAATAGAGGGTATTCAAATGGCAAAATTGCAAGTTAGTCGCTCAAGAGATCTGTAAAATCCTGGAGTTATAAAGCACAAGGACACAGAGTTTGTCACAAGTGTTTACTGCATGTCATGCCAGGTCTATAACACACATACTTTCCTTTTCATACCCATCAATATTAAATACAAACATTCCTATTGGCTATTTTCCTTGAAGAAACTGTCTTCTTAGCTGTCTAAATTGTAAATGGAATAATACTTTAAAAAATATTAAAAATATTTTTAGTAAAATATATTCCCTATTTCACTGAAGGAAGAATGATGACTTTTATCTGGTATTTTAATTTGACATGCCAATAAAGAGACTAAATCTAGGCACTTGGTTAAGCATTGGCTGTGCTGGGAATACAGCTGCTTACCAAAAAAGGCTGACAATTAATTGTATAGATTTGTTGTTCTGATACCTGTATGACATGTAACTTTATAACATGTAACTCTTAGAGAAGGCTTCAATCCTAAAGTTACAAACAAACAGGAGAGAATACAACAGAGGCCAAACAAGACAGTCAGGCAATAAAACACACGATATACAAGGAGAAGCTGAGGGAGATAGACTTGCTTAGCCTAAAGAAGGCTGGGATAGGGAAGGATGTGGGAAGACAGAAACTACTTGCATCCCTCAACTATTTGAAGTTTAGCTATAGGAAACACAAAGACAGAATTTTCTTGAAGATGTACAGGTAATAATAAAGAAAATGCAACAATTAAGAGATTGTATTGCATGTAAGAAAAAGAAAATCACAAGAGCTGTTAATCACTGAAAGAGTTTGTCCATTGGGGTTAGGGATTCAGTGTCCTAGGAAGTTTTTACAACTCAGTTGAACAAGATCCGAAAAACCTCATCTGACTTAGAAGCTAATCCTGCATGGAGCAGGAGATTGGTCTGGAAAAACCTCCATGGGTCCCATCTGACCCAAGTCATTCTATGATCCTATGTTCAGTGACAAAAGATTAAAGCATTTTAAAGATGCTATGGGTTTTAGTGGTATTTTCAGTTATACAAATAGGAAATAGCATAGGAAGCTATCTAAATCACAGGGCATCCATGCATTATCACTCTGCGTGCAGAGACGTATTTTTCTGCTCAGTACCATGTGGTCTCCTACTTTCCTAGCATGGTTTCCTGTCCCACTGCAGTAAGTAAGAAAGAAGTGTTCAGAGACATTTTATATAGAAACATCTACAGCCTTGATTTCTTATCCTCACCTCTGAAGAAATACCCTCTACTATCCAAGAGAATTATAATCCATAAGTATCATTCGAAATCCTGTCATTTATATTTTGATCATAACAGTAACCAAGACGTAATTCACACAATCAACCTATGTTGAATAATGTTCAGGATGAAGAATCTCTTTTCAGAAACAAGGCACAAAAGATAAAATATGCGAAGTTCAAGACATGCCACGACACTTTACCAAACACTTCCTCCAGCCTCTCAGCTTCCTCCACACACACTGTCAAACATTCCTGAGTTCATAGCAATACACTGCAAGCAATGACATGATTGACAATCTGAAAGACAGCCTTGTCAGGCATTTCAATAGCAAAGACATTAGAAAAATTATCCAATTCAGTTTTCAAAGAACAGGGGTATTTGTCCTGTTCCACATGAAAATGCAGGTATATTTTAAGAGTGGTTTTAAGGAGAAAGGCCTTGTCTCTATGAGAATTCAGACACACAGAAATGTTAGCAAAATTAGTGGAATTCCATCCTATATCCAAAAAAACCCCAGAATGAGTCAGTATTTATCCCTTATCCTTTTTTTTTAAAGATCTATTACAAGGCCAATATGAAATCTGATTGCATGAGCCAAAGCTACTCTTCAAGACTCCATGTTTTTCACTTTAATTGCCTAAAATTATAAACCTAGGTAAAACTGTGTGTTCTTCGCTGTATCAGGATCATAACAACCTCTAAGGTTTATGAAAGCTTTTTAGTGAAGAGTTCAAACATATAGCCTCTGTTGAAATTGAAACCATCATGTGCTGTTTATTGAGATCAAAAGAGCTCTCAAATGTAAATAGTTTCAAAAAAATAAAATTAATAACATAAATAGTTTGTGCAGTTTTCATTTGAAGGGACTGATCATACCCACATAGCTTCTATTAAAATCACAGGGGTTTTTTAATAACCAAGAGAATCCAAAGAATCAGTACAGAAATGCAGATTCTGAATATTAGTTCTGCTAGGTATTAGTTTGCAAGTAAAGTAGTTTGCAAGTAAAGTTTACAGACTGGAAAGCAGCAATATCTCTTGGTTCAAAATGGTAGTTTACTAACTGATTAGAAGAATTCTTTCCTCATGTTTGCAGTGTTATGCATCTTTTGTAGAGAAATGCAAAAATGCAAACCACATCTCCTGAGGACCAACATACTTGTATGCAATAACAAATCATGGAGTTTATTCCACATCCTAGTGACTTAGAAAACCTTAGATTGTGACAAACTAATTCTTCAGTGCTTGCTAATTCTCAACAGAATGGAAAGGATTATGCATTACCACAAGTATGCTACAGCTTCGTGTGGCAACTCCATACAGATCACATTTCAAGCCCAACAGTTAGCATCCTTCAGCAAAGGGAACTTGATGGCTTTTTCAAAATCAAACAACCCCAGGGAAATAATCAGAATGCAAAGCTTGCGCTTAACCAGGGGAACTGAGAGAAGTTCCCTACTTACACCTTATGTGTTTCACATGTTGGTTTTGGGTCCTATAAAACAACTGAAAATCTCTTACTTTTGCTCTTCAAAGACAAAGAAAGAAGGATGCTTCAGTGGCTCCAAGTGCTAGTAAGTTGCCAAATACCCTGAAAGAAGGTATTCAGCATGCATTAAATTAACTTTCCAGACAAGCATTTTTTCCTTTCTGTACAGGCAAAAGGTTGGTTTAGTGAACTGCCATTCTGAGGTGCTAAAAATTATATTCACTGCACAAAATGTTGTACCAAATCTGGAGGCTGTATTTTTCCAACATTTTAGCATTTAGATTTCTTACCTGCATAAACCTTTTTTGCTGTCTACTGACTCATTCAATGTGCATTTCCCTATATAAATTAGTATAGCATTAAAAAAGGAGTATATTTTATATATCAGTGATACTCATTACTAAGAACTATTACTGCTTGCTCTCACATGATTTATTATTTAAATTTTAATCAATCTGAAACTCTTCATAAACATAAAAGATGACTGTTCAAGATTTTTTTACTCCCTTGAAATATAATCCCCATTTAGCTAAATATACCATTCACCAAGATAATAAATTGTACAGAAGAAGTGCTACCATTATCATTTTTATTTGTTTGAGCTAGAAGGAAGTCCCACATAATGATAATTTTTGTACAGCTTGAACTGAATGCTAATGCATATGTATTTAAGGCACTTTAATGGAACTAAAAAAGGAATAAATCATCCAAACATTTTGAGAATCCTAATCTAATGGTCTGGCAAGAGTCAAAACATTTCCATTCCCTGCTCCTACTCATGGCCATGAACCTTGTAAGCAGTAGTCAGCCTTGAGACCTTTGAGAGAGGAGTATTCTTTGCAATTTTCCATCATCTGAGGTGCATGCTGCTAATACTGGTCTGTACTTATATATATATGAAATGTCAAAAAAAAATGTCTACGAAGACCAAAAGAAGGAAAATTTAAAATAGGAAGTTAATAGAAGTCATCCTTCAAGAAATTGAAGTTGTATTCAGAAAAGAAGAAAGATAAGAATAGATAAGAATTTATTCTGGTAGACCAAAACAGTTTTCATAGAATAATCAGTGTAGGCATTAAGCAGGGAGACTGCCAGACTGCCACAGTATTACTAGGAAGGTATTTACTCTAGAATATTATTTTATGCAAAATAAACTGGAGGACATACTTTGAACTGATATTTCAGAAAGAGAAGCTGTAAAGTGAGTCAACAAAAAAATAACATATTTTTTAAATTAAATTATAGTTAGTGTAAAGCATCTCCAGTATAAAATAATTAGTAACTGCAATACAGTCTTTCACTGATAAGAAGTATAAAAGCTGGAAAAAAAAACCAAGATATTTTTAAGGAATTTCAACATTATATTAATTGAAGAATAGACAAATAAGTCTGACATCCACACTGGACAGATTTTTAGAAACCCAAATACACAATAAAATTAGCAAGCATATGAATAAATTATGATAAAATGTGAAGAAGTCAGAATGCATTTAGCAGAGGGAATTCACATCTGTTACATGTATTAGAATTCTTTTAAGTAGTCACAGAGAAAGTGAGAAAATGAGATTTATTCCTACTGCTCAGTTGGGATTACAGGCTTTTAAAGAATTTCATCTGCCTTGGAATAGGAATAAATTCATCCATGAGAAAACTTAATTAATGAAAGGACAAGGAAAAAAAAAACAGGAATAAATGATCAAGGGTTTTTTTAAGCAAAAGTTTTCACCAGCCAAGCCTCACAGGAGATCAGTCTAGAAATACTTTGTTCACCTTATTCAAAAATTTCTAGAACAACAATGAATGAGGTACAGGAAAGCCTCACACTAAATTAGCAAAAGTAATAGAAGAAAATGCCAGCTGAGGAGTGTCGCAGAACAGTCTCAGAATGAATGGAGGAGTTGACTTGCTGAAAGACAAATTTGGGTTAGACAGTAAGTAAAGCTATCTGTGGTGAGCATGGTGAAGCAGTGGAATTTCATAAGACTCTGTGGAAGAATCTCATTGGAAATCTGTCAAGAGAAGTCAGACATATATCTCTCTGTCAAGTTCAAATGATCCATCTCAAGGAGAATCTAAATGGTATATTAGAATGTGTCATTAGGAAATGAAGCATTCTTCCTAATGCTATGTTTCTAAGGATGTAGGCATAATGACTCAAATATCTGTCCTAATTGGCTTTTGTAATCAGATGAAATGAATACAGAAATTATCTCTCTTATTACTAGCAACACGACTTAGTCAGTCATTTAAAAGAACAAATAAAATATATAAGCCTACTTAAGGCAGCATTTTTAAGTTACCTTAACGAAAACCAAGGCAATTTGACACATTTACACATAATCTCAGTAACTTTAATTATCAAGAACTATTATTATTATTTTTTTATTATTTTATACTTTGTTAATCAAAAACTTCAGACCATTATTTAAACCTACTTTTCAGTCTTAGGCCACGAAATACATAACAAGCATACTATTGTCTCCTACCTTACAAAAGACAGTATTTACCAATTGCATGGTATTTGCAATGAGCATATTACTGAAAAAATTGACTTATGTCAATAAATTATATAAAATATTACATGAAAAAACACTAAAATAATGAAATTGTATTGTTTACAAAATACATATTTTCAAAAAAGGCTAGCATAATACTTCTTGAATGTTGCCATATGTCTTCTACAAGTATCTGTCGGAATCTGAGAAAGATTCTGCATATCAGATCTGAACATTGTATCTAAAATGTTGAGTAAAATGATTTCAGAAGAGTTTTCTGTGATTACATCAGTTGTCCTGAATTTTTTACTCTATTCTTCAGCTTTTTTAAGAATTCAGACTGCTGGTTTACCATTTGTTACAAGAAATACCAGCAGAACAATATATATTAGTGCATTTAATTATTTCCAAGAAATAGGTTAACATTTGCATGTGTATGTACATATAAATATGCGTAATATGTGTGGATATATACAATTGCTAATAAATATTTTAAAGCACTATAATATATTGTATTGTATTATATTCTATTATATAAAATGTTCTAACACTAATTTTACAGTAATCTTGTACAGAAGAAACTAGGCAAGCAGGAAAGAAACAAATCCTTGCTCTACTCAGTAAAAATCAATATCAAAATATTAGCATCACTAGATCACTAGATATACTTCTGTTTCTCAAACAGAGACTCATCCTCTAATCAAAGAAATGTACTTGCATGAGTTTGTTAGTCAAAAAAGGATCTGTATTAACTTAAAAACCATAATCACAAATTCATACGCAATTGGAAATTACTGGAAATGAGGACAGATATCTTCAAAGTCCCTGGAGGAGATTTCTCCTTAATGGAAATCTGTTTCAGTAGTTATGTGATTTGGATTCATAATCAAGGAGTAAGAGGCCCTGAGTTCAGGAGAAGCCTGCTGCTCACTCTCATGGCTCCATACCTTGTTGGACCGCAGAGACACTCTTCCTCCGCAGCGCGCGCAGAATTTCGTTTGGCAATAGGAACAGTTATGGCCACAGCCATCAGCAAATTTGGTTTTGTGGCAGATGCCACAGGTTGGGGCATCACCCTTCTGCTCCTGGTGCTGCTGTGATTCTTCACCCATCTTCTTGACTTGCTCCTTATACATCTCAAACTGCTGATGTAATTTTCTGCAGAAGAGAAGAGATCATTAGTTGTTGTTTACTTTTGCCCACAAATACTTCAGTCACTAAACGTGAATGTAATCATTTTTTACAAATCAGAGAGAAATACTGTAGTAAAGCACATATATTTAATTTATTACGCTCCAGAAGTGTTACATTCAAGAATTACTTCTTTTTCATTATAACTGAACTCTAGGAGGAAGCTCAACATTGATAACACTGAGTTCACAGTCCAGTTGTTACAAAGAGATGTAACTTTTCTTTAGGATGGGACCAGATGTTTGCTACAAATACAACAGCTGGAAACACAGGATAAGTAATAACGATAAGTGGTAAGCCCATGGTGCTAAACAATAAACTGGCGAAAGGAGGGGGGGAAAATCTAATTAATTCTTTAAAGTATACTTTTATCTAATTCCACCAGATGGATGCAACTATCTTTTATTGATCTAGCTTATCTTCATTTATCTAACAATCCTGCATAGAATAATGATTCCAAAATTATTTTCAATGACTTTTCAATCACCAGGTTTAATAATAAGTTACCTCATATTAACAAATTATTATAAATCATTTAAGCCATTCATATCATTGGGTAGGAACTGTTATCTCATGTAAAATATAAAGTAGAAGACAGCCTTAAGTGCAAAATCCAGGAAAAATTGCTTAAGATACACACATATATGTACCACCTATTTCCAGAACTAGAAACAAATGCAGTCAGTGGCCATGAGTGTCCAGAACTGCAATGTTAATTCATCATATTAATTCATCCATATTTCTGAGTCCACAATCATCAAATCTCGATACATGATAACAGGAAGTGTCTCATGCTGACTAAACCTACAGACACATTTAATGCTCTATAATGGTAGTTTTTCTCAAAAGCTCTACTTCTAAAGGTAAATGACGTCATGGGAAATTTAATTTTCATTATAAATAGCCATCATATTTTAGCTTTTGCAGATTCTGAAAAAGATGGGAAGGGTGACATTGCATATCACAAGAGTTTCAAACCCATAGAGAAAAAATAAAACTTTGACTTCCCTCTTTTTTTTAATAGGGGTATGAACAGTGATATTTAAATTCTTAGCATGGAATTCAACTTGCCTAATTTTGCAATTGAGACTGTAAAGTTTAGTAAATTATAAGTTATTAATCCAATTTAGGCAGATTTTTTAGTTCCTTGAATAAGTTCAGGCAAAACCCCAAAAAATAAGCACTTTTTATGAAACATTAAAAAGGTAACATAAGACCAAAAAAAATTGCAAAAGGCATTTATTTTTCCTTAGAATTATTCTTCTCTTGAATCTTGAGATTAAGTTAGTAAAAAACACACATGAATCATCAGATGGAACAAAAAATAACCTCCTAGAAAACAACTAAATTCAGGAGACCAACTTCCTTAAGCATAAATATATATTTTATATAGATCACATATAAATTAATCATGCAAACTTATTACATCAGAATTTTTAGAGGCCCCTACCAAAACAAATATTACACAAGTCAGTTAAAAATTAACTTAAGCAGTTATTTACCATGAATATTCACACATATGGCAAGAATTGTTGGGATTCACTTTGTTTTTCAGGAAAACTCCCCTAAGAATGTACTTTACATCAGACCACAGAGGAATTGTAGGAGCAGGCAGGCAGCTCCCCCTCTCCAGCAGGAAGGACAGGAGGATGGAGTTATCCTTGTCCTCTGTACTGACCTGCAGCCTGAGCTCCCAGCTGCCACTGACCCTTTCCCAGGAAGAGGGAATGAGGTTACTTCATTTGCTTATGTGTCATTTTTCTGTGTACCTGCTCTTGTCACTTCGAGATCAATCCAGAGTCCAGCAGTGTGGACTCCCAGCAGCAGTGGCTCCCTTTTCCCTCGCTTTCAGCCCCTTCCCACCCGCACCAGCAGGGAGAGGGGCTCATCTGGGACCTCATCAGGAGGGATGGCAGAGTTGGCATTGCCCTAAAAGCCTTTTGGGCAGTCAGGAGTAAAGGGCTTCCTCTGCCTTCTCCCTGCTTCCAAAGAGCTCACTGTTAAGTGCTCTTTGTTGAATGGGGCAGGACAAGAGTTACTAACAAGCAAGAGCTGAATGAAGTTGCAAAAAAAAATTTGGAAGTCTGGAAACTTGGCACATTTCAGCGTTTTACACTGACAACACTATATAATTGGTAGTTGGTAGTCTGGCCTGTTTCCATCAATAACACATGTAATCTCTGAGACCTTGCCTGCCTTTTAATTTTGCTTAACACTGCATTCTTCATTTAAAGCATATTATCTATGCTGAACTCCAAGTTTATTTTTAGGCTGCATTCAGTTTTGTGGCTTCCTTATAATCTACAGCCTTTGTTTGTATGATTACTTGCTTACCAGTCTCACTGATGCATAAAAAGCACAAGGCTTTTGCCAAATCTTAAGCCTCATGTACTGAAATAATTTCACTTGTGTTTCCTCTTGGGCACAAGAATCTATGTAAAGGTCATAACTTTTCCTTTAAAGTATAAACTTTCCAAGGTTATACAGAGTAGTTTTTGAAAATCCTTGTTCTAGTAGGAAACATATAATCTGCCAAAATTGTTCCTTATTACATCTTTTTCTGTTTTGAGAAAAATATTACGTGTATTGATAGCTGTCAGAAAAACTTGAACAAAGAATCTATGAAATATTCAGTTAGACACAATATGTTTTCTATATACTAAGCAGAACCACCTGAGATGAATATGCATACTAAAAAAAATTTAAATTTTTCAATTTAGGAATTTCATTTTTAAAATTTTGATCTTTTTTGTAGATAAATAATTAATTTTTTATCATCTAGGTTTAAGCCAAAATTTGACTTAAAAACACACAGCAATAATTAGATGTTTAGAATAGCACAGTATCTGAAACACATTTAGCAAAAACTTTATAATGTATACTTTTCAGAAAACATAATGCAAAATAAAATTCCATTTTGTTCATGCTGTCTGCAGTCATTGCTGCCTGAGGGGCTCGGAAGTCCACTTACTAGGGAAATTAAAGTAACCAGCACCAAGGCAAACTTCAGAGACTAAAACCAAACTCAGGTATCCCAAGACTACAATTTCCAGTCCTGATATCCAGTGAGTTACTCTGTTAATGCAAGAGGTCAAGAGCCACCCATGATAGGTTAGGTTGGAATTGACTTTTAAGATCATTGAGTCCAACTGTTCACCCAGCACTGCCAAGGTCACTGCTGATCTATGTCCCCAAGTGCCACATCCACACATCTTTTAAATACCTCCAGGGATGGTGACTCAAACACTGCCCTGGACAGCCTGTTCCGATGCTTGAAAACCCTTTCCATGAAGAATTTTATTCTTAATATCCAACCTACACCTCCCCTGGTGCAACTAGAGGCCATTTCCTCTCACCCAACCACTGGTTACCTGAGAGAAGAGCCTGACCCACACATGGCTGCACCCTTCTTTCAGGCAGAGAGCCATAAGGTCATCCCTGAGCTTCTTTTTCTCCAGGCTAAACAACCCCTGCACCCTCAGCTGCTCCTCATGGGACTCCAGACCCTTCACCAAACTCATTGCCCTCCTCTGGACACACTTCACCACCTCAATGTCTTTCTAGCAGTGAAAAAATGGGTTCTGCCCAAGAGTTGTATTTTGGGCCAAAATTTTATCCACAATGAAAAGACTTATTTTTTGACATGAGAGGGACTTTTTTTTTTGTTTGTAAATCCAGATAATTATATTAAATCACAATTAACAGCTAATTTAAGTAGAAAACTCAGAAATGCATATCCATGACCCTTATATAATTTTGGCAATGGCCCCTACAGCACAGGCCATCTATCTGTACTGATGCAAAGTCTCACTCCTTTACTACATTTGTTTCAAAAATACATGTACTTTAACAACTTCTATAAACTTTAGAGATTTTAGAGGAAAAGGAGAAGTTGACATGAGTTTACACAGACACCTAATGGTACTGAAAGTTTGGTCTGAGAAACTGGTAATTAAGTTCTGTTCTCTCATGAGAATTACTTCCCTGAACCTCACTTGTATTGGCTAGAAGTTACAGTGGTGAAGTTCATGAGCTTTATACGACTAGACAAGTTTGGTTTTTTTTAAATAACATATCCAAGATAACTTCATAGAAGACATCTCAATGTGAAAAGCAACTGTTTGTAAGAATTTGGATTGCTCTGCCAGAGTCAAGATATGTCTTGCATTGGAATACGTGTTTTGTTCTGGAATGGATTTAATTTAATTCTGCTTTTCCTGATTGCCCACACCTTTCCAGATATTAAAATTTCCATATCAGTTAAAAAGCAGCAAACTATGAGTCTCTCCTGATCCATGCCAAAGGCAAGTAAGAAATTCAAGTTTATTATTGACATTTTATTACTGTACAGAAATTTTAATTTTCTCCTCCCCTCCAGAAATATCCCTAAAACTTTCAGCATTTTACCAAAACTTAAAAAAATTACTGACAAGATGTTCTGAAACTATACCTACCTTCCAAAAGGTCACATAAATGTTTCTGAAACTTCTAAATCTGCTAAAAATCTACCACTAGAAGGGCGACTGTTAAGAAAGAATCCAGGATGTTTAGGCCAGATGTAAGTGTAGAAGCCACTTCTCATTTCCTCATTTTTCTCTCAAAGTTTTATTACAGATGTAGCACTTGCCTCATTTCGTATTCCCAGGCACAGAGCACGGATGTGGCTTTAATCCAGATTCAAAAAGGGTTTGTTCACTTTCAGTTCTGCCAAGACCATTCATTTAACAATTTTTCTGCTGGTGGCAATGACTGGTAGCATATGACATTTTTCCTGTACTGTACTCATTAAGTTCCTGCTTTTACAAGTGTGCCAGCTAACCTGTCACTGCCTACACCCACTTAATGGATATTACTCTTATATATATAACCCCATGTGTTGGTAGAGGTTGGGAAACAGCAGGCTGAAGAGCAGTTCTGCTGATAAGAACCCCTGGAAAATAGGGTGGAAACCAGGCAATGAGCCAGTG